GCCATTGAAATCTTTTTAAAAACGTATGTTTCTTTTAATAGTTGCATATTTTGAGGATCTTAATTGGGATAATTTTGTTAAAACAGAAAAGGAGAAAGATTTATGAATGGTAAAGAAAATGCTGGAATGAGCTATTTCCACTTTGTTAATCAATTGTTTTTCTCTCTTAAGAACAGAAAGAATTTTTAATGTCTTTGTAGGATATTTCCTGTATACAGGGATATGATAGGAACATATGGCAGTTCATATTGTAAATCCTGCTTTCTTGCTATGATTTGCCTGAAGTTTGTTTCACCACTTTGTTGAAGAAAACAGTAGAGGAATATGTTAGTCTCATGGCTAATTGGTTTTATACTGTAAGCTCTACAGAATAAATAAAAATACAGAAGTACTGTAAAAAGTATGTGGTTTTTGAAATGGCATTATTTTAAAACTAAACACAAATAGCTGTCTAGACACTTGAGCTTAACTCTCAAATAGTTATTTAATAGGAAATTAATAGATCTTATAAAATTAATGTAGCTTATGAAGATATGCTGAATTAGCCATAATACTATTTAATAACCTGAATTCAGAAGAATAAGAATTCCCGTTTTTTGGTCAATAGCATAGTGGTTATGAACATGGTGGCTTAGATTTTAATCTCTGCTTCCCTGTTTGTATGTTGGGTGCACATTACTTGACCAGTTTGAGACTCAGTTCTTCCTTGTAAAAGTGGAGGGAATATCAGCTTCCTCACAGGATGCATTCAGTGAAATGATAAATGCTTATTAGCACAGTGTCCAGACACATGTTAAAATTATTCACATTATTATATCATTATATAGTTTTTTTTTTAAAGATTATTTATTTATTTATTTATTCCCTCCCCCCCTCCCCAAACCCCCAGTAGATAGTTGTATGTCATAGCTGTACATCCTTCTAGTTGCTGTATGTGGGACGCGGCCTCAGCACGGCTGGAGAAGCGGTGTGTCGGTGCGCGCCCGGGATCCGAACCTGGGCTGCCAGCAGCGGAGCACGTGCACTTAACCACTAAGCCACGGGGCTGGCCCTCATTATATAGTTTTAACAATTATATACTTTCTATGAATGCATAGTATGTTTTGTTAATAATTTACTTAATTTCAGCTTCTCTCTGGATTGCTAGGTTTTAATTGCATGTTAACATATTTTCGATATATTTGCCTTCATCTCTCCTGAGCTTTTTGAGAGATGGCTCATTGTCTATAATTTCTGTAACAGTGAGTGAACATTGTTGCTGCTCTCCATCTTACTCTTGTTTGGGGACCGTACGGATGCAGCTTCTAGGTCAGAAATCAGAAAGGGGAGAGGATGATCAAAAGGCTCAAATAGGCCTTGTCGTATAAAATAATGACCTAAATGCTTATTTTTCTTATATTTGAAAGCTATACTTGACCACTTTTCCTCAGTTCAAAGGAATTATGTGGCTGGTAATAAAGTTTTATGTAACAATGTTTCTATCACATAGATTTTACTTTATTTTTATTTTTATTTTTATTTTTTTTGTGAGGAAGATCGGCCCTGAGCTAACATCTGCTAATCCTCCTCTTTTTGCTGAAGAAGACTGGCCCTGGACTAACATCAGTGCCCATCTTCCTCTACTTTATATGGGACGCCGCCACAGCATGGCCTAGACAAGCAGTGCGTCGGTGTGCACCCGGGATCCGAACCGGTGAACCCTGGGCCGCCGTAGCTGAGTGTGCGCAGTTAACCGCTTGCGCCACCGGACCGGCTCCTATTACATAGATTTTAGAATTCCTCTTGGGATGGAAGTAAATTCAAGTAGCAATACCTTAATATTATATTTTAAAATATTTTTATCAAAATGTTTGTAATCAAAAATGATAGTCCCTTAAAAACTACCCATCTTCTTTGTCAAGTCATGATCACCAGGCAATGGTTTTTATTTCTTTCAGCTTTTCTTCGGTATCTATTTGCAAATAGTATGCCTCTACTGCTGTTTCTTAATTATTACTTTTAGATTTCACCAGATCATTTCCTGTTACGGTGAATGAGGGTTTAACTCATTTAAATCCTCTTCCCATACCTTCTCTCCTCATTTCTAAAATTAATTACATTATGAACTTTGGTTAGACAGTAATACTTGTATATATAGTTAGGTAAATATTGTTTACTGCTGAGTCAAATAATGAACTATAATATTTTCTATCTAGGGTGATTATTTTTCTTAAAGTTAATAATTGGCTTTCCCCAGTTTTCTTTTTATGAATCAGTAATTCCTCCTATATGCTCCTACAAAATATCTCTCAGTATTATATTCTATAAAGACAAATTCATTAGATAATGTCAGTTCCATTTTTTTTTCCTCTAAACCTGAGAATTTCTTAGTCTCTCCTGTTTTTGATCTCCAATATTCTGGATCCCGCATCTTCTATTTTGGTGTATTCTATTGTCTTGGAGGAGGATATCCTTCAGTAGCTTCTTGAGAAAAGGTGCGTTGGAGGTAATTTTTTTTTGAAATTTTACATAGCTAAGCATGTTTTTTATTTAAAGCTATGTATTTGAATGATAATGAGGCTGGCTGTAGAATTCTACATGGAAGTCATTTACCTTACAATTTTGAAGGCATTTCATCGTTTATATTCCAGTGTTGCTGTTAAGAAGTTTAGTGCCAATCTGATTATTGTTTATCTCTGGAATCTTATATCCCCAGTGTTATGAAATTTCACTTTGATATGCCTTGTTGAAGCTCTTTTAATTTATTAGACTGGACGCTTGGTAAGCCTTTTCAATCTGGCAACTCATGTCCTTCAGTTCTGGGAAACTTTTTGGTATTATTTCTTGATTACTTCCCTTTGGTTTCCCATTTTCTTCATTTTCTTTATTCTTATTTTCTATGATATGTTTCCCTGGATTGAGCTATGGTACTAATTTCTCATTTTTCTTATTTTCTTATCTTTTTGTTTTACTTTTTTTCTTGTAGAGTTTTTCAACATTGTCTTTCCAAACTTCTATTAAATTTTTATTTCTTCCATCATATTTTCAATTTCTTATTCTCTGAATATTTTCCCCCCAGCATTGTGTTCTTGTCCCATGGATATAATATTTATTTTCTTTCTGAGAGTATTAGTTACTTTTCTAATTTTTGTTGTTGTTTTCTTTGGTTCCCTTTATTATCTTTATTTTTCTGACTTCCTTTTCTGTTTTAATTTTTGTTTTTCAGGTTAGAGGCTTGCTTCAGTTATCTCTTAAATATTGTCTGTCCATTTGTATATAGTGGTGAGGGACTAAAATGTTGGCTGGAAGCATTGGGTACCTGGGCTGGGTTTGTTGACTGGCCTCACAGTATACCAAGGTTTCTCAATCTCAGCACTATTGATATTTTGGGTGGGAAAATTCTTTGTTTTGGGGGCTGTCTGTAGATTTTAGAATGTTTAGACATATCCCTGGCTTCTACTCACTAGTTGCCAATTGCATCCTTCGTACCCTAGTCATGAAAATCAAAAAAATCTCCCAGCATTGCTGAATGTCCCCTAGGAGACAACTGGGCTATTTCAGTGGCTACTCTGTAATGCCATTATCTGTGGGACTCTTCCCTGGTGCCAGTCTCCAGAGAGGAAACTTTCAGTCTCCTGCTTCGGGTTATAAGCCTGACTACTGGACTTCTGGGGGCCTAGTGGAATATAGGGACTGGTTTTCACTTAATTAGTTGTTTTCAGCGTGGCTCCTCATCCCTGTTCTTACCTGTATTTCTTGTCTGCCAGTCCAGAGCCTCCCTATTCACTTTGTCCAGAGAATAAACCTCCCTACCTCTGAGATAGTATAAGGAGGGATAGTGGCTAGCTGTGGGATTGGGAGGGAGGGTCCAGCTGTTTTTATAGGCTTTCAACTACTACCCCTGTTTTTAGCTCACGTATCTATTCCTATCTTCCGAGGTACCCGCTACTTCCAATTGCTGTGTTTTGTGTGGGTGTGTGTGCTGTAACGAGAATTTGCTGGTTTGTTGTTTGCAGGCGCTTAGACTTCAACTTTCTTTGATTTTCTGAGTCAGTTACTATTCCTCCATTGGCTTGCTATTTTCCCAAAACTTACGGACATATCTAGTTGCTGTTATGTTCTTTGCTGTTCTTCCTTGTGGATTTATTGTCTTGTTTTATTGACATTGGACTAGGTTTTAGAGCAGCAATAAAGATGAACACGTGTGTTCAATCCAGTAATATTAAACAGTCTAATTCCAGAAACTTTTAAGTTTTTACACGTTTTCTTCCTTTTTGCAGGAGAAACTCAAATGAGGATCATAGGAATAAAACCAGAAAAGACTCTTGTAAGATTTTCAGGAGAGCCTTACCCTATCCCTAACCATCAGATGTGTATTTTTAAGATCTTATATTACCTCACTGTCCCTTAGTATGAGTCAGATGATTGCAGAAGTAGAGCTTAGGGGACAGAATATATGAATGACTATCAGAGAAACTGAGTCAGGATTCGCTACTGTTAACAGCAAAATGACTTTTTAGCTTTTTAACATTTTGTACTTTAATAATTATGCTGTCTGATTTTGAGAAAGTTAGAGCTTTGGTACCTGTTTTTTGTTTTTAGAGGCAAAAATTTTGGTTTTTACATTCAAATACCTAGAGCAGCACAGTCCAATTTACTAGCCATGTGTGACTATTTAAACTTAATTTAAGTTCCTCATTTGTACCAGTCGTGTTTTAAATCCTTGGTAGCTGCATGTGTCGGTGATATTCTAGAGCCCGCCCAGGTTAACCCTGTTGATAACGTTAATGTTATGTTACATTGATAATTCCACATGTATTGTGTAGTGCCTGAGAGGGTCAGGGAGCTTACCAAAAAACTGAATTTGTTCAGCCGTCGTAATTGTCATGTTCCTACTCATTCTTCTTTAAAGCTTCAAGTTGTGGCAAGAACCTTCCTTATATGGATTAAAATTGTGCTAATTGTGTCTTTGTTTTTGACTTCTCTGACTTTACTTTTAATTGTTTCTTTCCTCCCCCCAGACAGTGCAGTGCTTGCTAGACAGTGGTGCTGATATTAACAGGCCAAATGTATCAGGAGCCACTCCACTGTACTTTGCTTGCAGGTATGATATTTTATATTTCCAGATGCTCTCATTAAAGAATGTTGTATATCTACTATATTTCCAAACACAAACATTTCTATATATTTTGTAAAGCTTTCTTATTTTCCCACAAGTACTATGCTCCCTTTTAAGGTGAAGTATACCTTTATGGTTCTGTTACTTAATTGTAGGAGGAAAACTATTTTCTCTTGCCATTGTTGTTTTGTTTTATTTTTTTTGGTGAGGAATATTGGCCCTGAGCTAACATCTGTGCCAGTCTTCCTCTATTTTGTATGTGGGACGCCACCACAGCATGGCTTGACAAGCGATGTGTAGGTCCGCGCCAGGGATCTGAACTCACGAACCCTGGGTCCACGAAGCAGAGTGCACAAACTTAACCACTACGCCAGTGGGCTGGCCCCTGCCAGTGTTTTTATGTGTTATAGATGGAAGCTTTTGATTTGCTTGATTATTTAAATTTTAGACTAATTACTTAATAAGTAAAAAAAAAAAAAGACATATCAATAATCCAGTAATTTCCATGGTTTTCTTTGTTAAGTACCAGGTCAGTTCCAGTGGGATATGTTATTAAAGTATGTCTTGGTCCACAGCCATGTCTTTGCTTTCTCTGGATTTGTAACTTTTAAGAAAGTTCTTGAATTGTTGTTAGGTATTAAGTTAATGCATTGTTATTTTTGCACTTCTCTCTTGTTTAATTTTCTTGAAGCATACATTTTATTCATTGGTTCATTCATGTAATAAGCAGACGTTTTGTTAGCACTCACTGTGTGCTGTGCATTATTAAAGGCATTAGTGATACAGTAAATAGTAAACCCCAGTCCTTCAGGAGCTAACAATATAGTAATTATACACGTATACCCTCCACACACACACACACACACGCACACACACACACACACACACACAATATGTTATGTAAATGTAGTTTGCAATTAGGAGCAGTTCACAGTATACTAGTGATTTTTTCTTTGGCTTAGATTATATGAATTGTAATATTTATTTAAGCTCTTAAATTCAGATATAGAGCTCCAGAAAGCTCCTGTTTTATATCATTTTACTGGAGGTTTGTTTTAGACTGAAAGACCTGCTTTTCTTCTTGATTAGCTCTTCCTTGGGGTCTTTGATGTTACTTTGATCAGACTGATTTGTCATCATTGAACAACCTTGAATTAGAATACAGGGACTTTTGGATCTCTGGGCTTCTAGATCTTATCTGAATCCAGCCATTTTCTTACATTGTACTTATGATTTGGTTGCTTGGCTAGCAAACCGGTTCCTTCTGTAGTGTCCTGAATTTATGAATAATATCATTGTTTGATTCCATGAAATCATATCCTATCTTGAGGAGTTATCTCTAGATCAGGCCTTTCCTTGAGGCTTCAGATTTGAATGTCCACCTGCCTGGTTTACATCAACAGCTGCAAGTCTCACAGAATCTCAGATGTTAACATGTCCAAAATATAGCTTCTGCTTTTCCTTTTCAGACCTTTCGTCCAGTTTTCTCATCTCATTTATTGGAACCCTCATCTTTCCAGTTGTTTAAACCAGAAGCTGGATCATTATTTTTTATTTCTCTCTCTCTCTCTGACCCTCAACTTGGAATTTATTAGTAAGTTCTATAAATTCCACCCTCAGGATATATTCTGAATGTCTTCTCTCCCCCTCACTGAAACCACCTTGTTAAAGTTGTTACTTCTTCCTGTCTAGAGTACTGCAGTAGTCTCTACACCAGTCCTCCAGATTCCTCTGTTGTTTCTCTCCCATCTGTTCTTTCCTTGGCAGCCAAAGTAGCCTTTAAAAAAACGAGTCGGGGGGCTGGCCCGGTGGCGCAAGCGGTTAAGTGCATGCGGTCTGCTGCGGCAGCCTGGGGTTCGCTGGCTGGGATCCCAGGTGCGCACCGACCACCGCTTGGTGGGCCATGCTGTGGCGGCGTCCCATGTAAAGTGGAGGAAGATGGGCACAGATATTAGCCCAGGGCCAGTCTTCCTCAGCAAAAAAAAAAAAAGAGGAGGATTGGCAGATGTTAGCACAGGGCTGATCTTCCTCACACACACACACACAAAAACCAAATCGGCTCTTGTCACTTTGTGTTTAAGCCCTGTATATAAAACTTTTCAGTGCCTCTTTGTTGCATTTCAAATAAAATCCAGACTCTACCTCCGCCTGTGAGACCTGCATGGTCTGACCTCTGCTTAGCTCACTGTACTTCAGCCACGTTCGTCCTCTTTGAGTGCCCCATGTGCTATTTGTTTTGCCTGAAATGCTCTTCTGTAGGCTTTTTATGTGGCTTGACTCCTTCATGTTACTGCACAATCCCCAACCAATCTAAGTAGGCCTCTCCTCAGATTTTCTGTCACAGCATCATGATTGTTTCCTTCATAACACTTCGTATTTTGTAATTATGTATTTACTTGTCTAGAGTGTGTCTCCTCTACTAGAAAGCTCAGTGAAATCAAGAATTTTGTTTGTTTTGTTCACCACTTTATATTCAGTGTGTAGTACAGTGCTTTGCAGTTAGATGCTTAGTAAATGTTTTTGAATGAATGAATCACTACAATTACATGTTTGAAAAATATCTTATATAAAGCAATGCCATGTATAATAGCAAAATATAGGTATATTAGTGTTGTACAGAGCGGGGGTATTCGTATAGTTAGTCTGAGCATAGGGATATGTTAAAAGAATTTTTTAGAAGTATTTTCTGTTCCTATATTTTCCTCATTAGGTTTTAATCTAGTAAACATCAGATCTGTTTGAACAAAGATGGTTAAGCAAATCTGATTAAAATTGAAATTAGAAAGTAAATTCATCATTGTAGCAGGATGATAGATATGGAACATGGTTCATTTGTAGGGTAGACTTTTAATGGTACCCGTGATATCTAGATATAGATATACATTAAAAATATAAATTATTCCCAATGTATTGTCTCTGATAAACAAAAGGGAAAGGAGTGTGGGAAATAGAACAAGTTGACCCTGCAAACAAATTATACGGCTCTAAGATAAAAACTAAACTTAATGTAAGTTTTTATTGATTGAGAGGTATGACTAGATATATCATCATATGCCTTATTCAAGGATCAACTTACGAAACTTTCTTTTTAAAATTTTGAATTAAAATCAAAAGGTCTTGAGATACATAGAAGAAAGAGCCTAGGTTTTGGAGGCAGAGTTCAAATCCCAGCGGTAAAGCTATGCAACTTCAATCAAGTTTCTTGACTTCTGAAGCTTTGTTTCTTTGTGAAATCGAGATGCTGACATCCACCTTGTGGGACTCTAATGAGAATTAAATGAGATGTCTTATGTAAAGCATCCTGCAGAGTATTTTGCACTTATGTTTGGTAAGTGCTCACTAAGCTCTAGCACATTTTTCCACTCCCCAGTGAGCACAAAGTTGTATTGTCCTCATTCAGTTTCATTGCTATATAGCATTTTCTTTCTAAGAAATATGATTCTTCTCCCACCATATAGACCTTTTCTTTTTTCCTTTATATTACTTCTGTTCTAATTCTGAACACTATTTAATAATGTAGTGCTTCTATGAGTGAGTCATTTTCAGACTGATTTTGACCTAAAATTATGACAGGAACTATTTCCAAGCCACTTTTCTTCTCTAAGTATTTTGCACAAGACGTTATAATTCATTAGCTTTCTTTCCTGTGTACTCTAGGCACACACTGATTCCCCCCATCTTTAGGCACCTTTGTTTTCAGGACTTCTGGTGGTATCTACAAATGCTTCAAGTCCTTAAATTATTACATTGGTTTTATTTTTTATTTGTTTATTTTTTTATAATTTTTATTTATTTATTTATTTTCCCCCCAAAGCCCCAGTAGATAGTTGTATGTCATAGCTGCACATCCTTCCAGTTGCTGCATGTGGGACACGGCCTCAGCATGGCCGGAGAAGCGGCGCGTCAGTGCGCGCCCGGGATCTGAACCCCGGGCCGCCAGCAGCGGAGCGCGCGCACCCAACCGCTAAGCCACGGGGCCGCCTCTACATTGGTTTTATATTCAGGCATAATGCTTCCCTTTCCCTTAACTGGATTCTTCAAATAAAGGTTTGGCTGTATAATGATTTTCAACTATTTTCTGTATCTGCAGATAACTTTTATTCTATTAGGAGAAGCACGGTTTAGCTGGGGTTATATAGATACAGGAAATTAGTGGGATGTATGGTATTTTAGAGATCTGTAATAGAGTGAGAAAGGGGTAAGATTCTGAACATGGGTTTATAGCCACTGTCAAGCAAGTGCTTTAAATTAGTGAACTCAAAATCAAAGTAGCCACATAAAACAGCTCATAGAGGGGCCAGCCTGGTGGCGTAACAGTTAAGTTTGCGTGTTCGGCTTTGGTGGCCCTGGGGTTTGCTGGTTTGGTTGCTGAGTGCAGACCTACTCACCACTCATCAAGCCATGCTGAGGCAGCATCCCACGTAGAAGAACTAGAAGGACCTACAACTAGGATATACAACTATGTCCTGGGGCTTTGGGGAGAAAAAAGAAAAAGAGGAAGATTGGCAACAGATGTTAGCTCAGGGCCACTCTTCCTCAAAAAAAAAAAAATCACACCATTCCTTTAAAAAAAAAAACAGCCCATAGACTCAGAATTGTAAACTTTTAGAAAAGGAAAGGACCATTAGAAAATATGGTCTCTTTGTTTCGTAAACAGTTCCAAAAAATATTGCAATATATTTATTCTATGCATTTTAGTCAAGTTTTCAAATCATATCACTGAAAGAGCCTCAAGTTAGGAGACAGGTCCTTGAGAAATCAGTTCTCAGTGCTTTAGAAGCACCACAGGTTTCTTATTAGTTAAATCTTTGCCAGCTTCTTAGTTTCCAGGAAATACATTGGCATTTCCTGGAGGAGAGTATTAATCAATATAAAAAAATAAGTTGACTTGTAAAGAATAATTATTCATTGAGCAAATTTTTGCAGTAATTTGAGCTGAAAAATCTTTTATGCAACACTGAGCAGTCTGTTAGAGGATAGTCCTAATCTCTTACAATATTACAGATGAGGCACTTGATCATAATCAGGTGATGTGGCACATAACCTAATCAGGTTCTGTGGATTTTGTATATTACTAGCTATTGTTTCTTGCTTTTAATTTATTTTTGAAATGAAATATCACCTGATCATAGATGAGATTTTAATGTAGTTTTTTAGAAATTTGTCCAGCTTTCTAAAAAATCTCATAGTAGTATTTCATTTTTTTCACACTAATTGTCCTTTTTGCTATGTATGGTACAAAATTAATTATTTTGAGACTCTTTTAAACCACACATATATATTTTTTTTTGTGAGGAAGATCAGCCCTGAGCTAACATCCGTGCTAATCCTCCTCATTTTGCTGAGGAAGACTGGCTCTGAGCTAACATCTATTGCCAATCCTCCTCCTTTTTTTTTTTTTCCTCGAAGCCCCAGTGGATAGTTGTATGTCATAGTTGCACATGCTTCCAGTTGCTGTATGTGGGACACGGCCTCAGCATGGCCGGAGAAGCGGTGCGTTGGTGGGTGCCCGGGATCCAAACCTGGGCCGCCAGTAGTGGATCACAAGCACTTAACTGCTAAGCCATGGGGCCGGCCCTAAACCACATATATTGAACAATGTCCCATTTGCATGTGGTGATCTTGTCTGTTCATACTGTGTGATCCCATGGTATTGTTCTCATAGCATACATCCCCTTGCACCTTATACCATACTCTCTTGAATACTAAGTTGTTTACTCTTTGAGGGCAAGCTCTATGTTTATTCATCTTGTTGGAGCAGTATGATACAGATGAAGGATTTTAGAATCAGACTGATCTAGATTCAAAGTCTGTTCTGCCATGTACTCTTGTTCTTGAGCAACTCCATTACACTCTTGAGTTACGGTTTTCTCAACTGAAAAATGGAATGAATACTTATTTTATAGCAATGTCAGGATTAAGTCAGACTTTGTACAAAGAACTGAGCATTATGCTTGTCATCTAGTGGACTCTAAATAAATTATGATTCAGGTCTCTTTTTGTTCTGTATTGCAGTACCTTATTTAGTGCTTATTAGTCAAATGAATGGTATCTAAAGGTAAAACCTATAATATAACTCAACAAATGTGTTGAGTACATGCTGTAAGACAACTACCATGCTTGGTGCTATGGAACAAGTGTATTGTCAAGAAGTTTACAGTTTAATTGGAAAGATTGGACACATGATATTAAATAACTGTAAAAGAAATGTCATTGAAATTGAACAGAATAGCTTTGTAAATCTGGGTGTCTCAGAACCTTAGGTACTAGCAAGGACATCACTCTTTCCCTAAATAAATTAAGCTCAAGTTAGTTTCTTTTTACTTAACCTTTATTTTTAGGGATAATAAAGAATAGAGCAGTGTTAATTGTGAAGTTTTTACTATTAGCTGTAAATATGTAATACGTTGACCAGCGCTCCCAGCTTAGTGACAGATGATGCTTGATGAAGACTTTTCCTAATGTACACTAGTAAAACCAGCTGCTGTTGATTTTGGAGGGATTGCTGATTTACTTGGTTTCTCGATTTTTTGCTTTTTCTGGAGTAAATTAGATATTATTCATAAGTTAGTTTTGGTCTGTTGATATTTGTATTAAGGAAGGTAATCAGTATTACAATAAAGTATCAAGAGAGCGATGTACCTAGAATATCTGCCACTAGATTCATAGTAGTATCCTATTTTTAATTGTTTAATTCTAATTGGTTATAAATTATACTTTTGCAGTGTCATTTTATGGAAAAGAATGAGTAGGTTGGTTTTTTTTTTTAAGTTTCTGAGAAATCTGCATGGTCTTTTTCTTTGTGAAATGACATACCTTTTTAAATAATGGTATTGTGGAAAGAGTACTGGTCCAGAAGACTAGAGATCTGAGTTCTAGTTTCACCTGTGCTTGAGTTAGCAGCTTTTCTTATTTACAAAATAAAGTTTTTTGATCAGATACTGTTTCAAACTGTATGACTTCATTGGGCATTTGGTAAAATTAGCCGTCAACTTTAATGTCCTTGGATTGTAAATTTATTTTTTATTGCCTGTATCTAGAATTAAATTAGCTTGTTGAATACCGAGACCTAGAGTCTAGTGGTTGCTGCCCCCTAAGTAGCTTCCTCCTACCTGAAAGAGTGGTAGTTACTAATTTTATTCCTACTAGGAAGAGAGCAATTAGAGAGAGTGGGGCATCTGGTTAAGAGAGTTGTTCGTTCTAGGTCAGACTGAATACCTAGCTGTCAGCAGAAGCCAAACTGACTGGGTTGATGAAATGACGGTTGGAAGCTAGGTAGTATTTTTGGCTAATTAATCCCTCCCCTCCCCCTATTCTCTTATTTTGATATTTGTCTTTTCTCTTTCCTTCCTTCCTTTTTATTTTTTTACTAAGTATTAAAGTGCCATAAAATGTACTCTTGTTTTGAGTATTGAGGAACTTTTGGACTAGGAAGTCTAGAGACTTGAATGTGTATAGTAGGAAGAAGGTCAGGCTAGAGTTGAGAAGGAAGTGATTGGGAGAAAAAAATAAAGCATAAACCTGAGTAGCAGCTACTTATCCCAAAATGTTATGATTTATTTTAGGTAATGTGTCCCAAGTTGAATTCTAAGATTTAATAGGTCAGTTTCTTATCTACATAGTGAAAGTATGGTTTAACACTAGGAAAAGTTTTCCTGATTGTTGAGGATATAGTTAAGATTTTCCTCTGTTTTTTAAAATTGTTAATCCTCTGTTGATTCATATTAACTGTTCATAATTCATAGAGAAGGACTTTAAATTAAAAATATTATATTTTTAACTTGGTTCTGTTTCTGTACAGTCATGGTCAGAGAGACACAGCACAGATTCTTCTATTACGAGGAGCCAAATATCTGTCAGATAAAAATGGAGTAACGCCTCTGGATTTATGTGTACAGGTACGTTGTTAATGTGTATTCTTTTTTTTTTTTTTTTTTTTTGCTGAGGAAGATTGGCCCTGAGCTGACTTCTGTGCCAGTTTTCCTCTATTTTGTTTGTGGATTGCCGCCACAGCATGGCTGACAAGTGGTGTAGTTCTACACCCGGGAACCGAACCTGGACTGCTGAAGCAGAGTGCACTGAACTTAACCATTAGGCCACCAGCCTGGCTCCTGTTAATGTATATTCTTAATACCTTACTTTATACTAGAAACTGAGAGTGGTAAAATCATTTCTTTCTCAAATGAGAGGGTGATTGCAAAGATTTTTATTCTGTGAAGAATATGGTCTTTGAAAGGAACTATGATGTTATAAGAAATATATGTTGGTCTTCATCCCAGTTCCTAACATAAGAGCTTCTAAGACCCTTGGAATCTCCAGAGTGATAAGAATGTCTTTTTGTATATTATTGAGATGACAACTGGCTAAAAGCCCCTAGGTAGCTTCAGGATGGGGGCTGGTGGCCAGGGGAGCCAACCATGTGATTAGGGGGCAGCTTCCTTCCCAACTTCCAGGGAGGAGAGAAGGGCTGGAGATGTTCAGTCACCAGTGACCAATAAGTTAATCAATCTATGCCTATGTAATAGAACTTCCATAAAAACTCTAAACAGTGGGATTCTCAGAGAGCTTCTGGGTTGGTGAACACATGGAAATACTGGGAGGGTGGCATGCCCAGAGAAGACACGAAAGCTCTGTGCCCCCTCTGTGTACCATGTGCCTTCCATGTAAGGTAACACACCTTCCATGTGGCTGTTCCTGAGTTGTATCCTTTATAATAAACAGCTAATAGTAAGTAAAGTGTTTTGCTTATTTCTGTGAGCTATTCTAGCAAATTATCAAACTCGAGGAGGGGGTCGTGGGAACTCCTGACTTATAGCTGGTTAGTCAGAAGTATGGGTGGCCTGGACTTGTGATTGGCTTCTGATGTGGGGGCACTCTTGTAGGACTGAGCCCCTGACCTGTGGGGTCTGCGCTAACTCCGGGTAGTTAGCATCAGAATTGAATTAAATGATAGGACATCCAGTTGGTGTCCACAGAGAACTGGAGAATTGCTTCGTGTGGAAAACCCTCACATTTGGTGTCAGACTTGTGGAGGAAACAAGTATTCCTTTAGGATCTTTGTTTTTAAACTTAGGTAATTTTAAATCTTATTTTTAGGGTGGATATGGAGAGACGTGTGAAGTATTAATTCAGTATCACCCTAGGCTTTTCCAGACAATTATTCAAATGACACAGAATGAAGATCTCCGAGAAAACATGGTAATGTAATTGTGCTAGTAGCTTGTAAATGAGCAAGCTTTGTTCATGCTTAGTGTATATCGCATTTTAGAGGTGTGCTTATTAATTTTATTATTACAGATATTTTAATTCGAATTTGTTTATCTGCATTATAGGATAAGTATGAATTATATAATAATTACTAATTTTTGTGCTAATATTTGGCCCTATGAATCTTCTGTCCTCTAGGTCTTTGGTCACTCCTTAAGATAATTAGAATATTCCCCATAGGTAGAGGAAAAGAATCTAAGGTGGAATCTCATGTTATGATTGGTAATCACTAGTTTACTGAGCTCTGTATTTATAATAGATCTACTCTTTGAAAAATTGCAGTGTTTAAAATTCTCCTAAATTTTAGAAGTTTGGAATTAAACTTCCATAAATAAACTTGGTGATTTCTGTTCTATTTATATTTCTCATTGCTTTTTTACTGGGTGATTTTGAATAAAGATTTTATGTCATCTTATCTGTATATTAGCTTTTGAATTTATGTAAGGCAAAATAACTGTAAAGGACTTAATTTCAGCTGATTGGCTTTGGGATACTTATTAAACTAGTGGTACTTAATTTCTTGATAAAGGTTAATGGATTATTATATAGTCACATTTTTTTATTTGTAATGTATTTAGTTACGTCAAGTTCTGGAACATTTGTCTCAGCAAAGTGAAAGCCAGTACCTAAAGATCCTAACAAGCCTTGCTGAAGTTGCCACAACAAATGGTCATAAACTGCTTAGGTAAGTGTTTCAAAATATAAGCAATCAGTAGGTAGCAGTATCTTTCAGCTTTGTCTCCTTTTAGGCTTTTTTGGGAATGGTTTATTGTGTTGGATGCCTTTTGACAGTGGTAAGATGTTTTAAAAATTTGCTGACTTATTGTTTGTTTTGATTTAAAGGACCAGAGCTATCCACTTATTACTGAGGAGACTTTAATCTCTCTAAAGAGACTAAAAATAGAGACTTACTTAAGTGGGTTTGGCATATGTGTCTAAAATTTTATCAAATGATTGCTTAGACTAGAGATGTAAGTAAAATGTATATGAAGAATCAAGAAAGTAGTTTAGGAATCTTGATCACTAATTTATAAAACTGGGTATAGACTGTTGTTCAACTTCTCCATAAACCCTCATGATTCCTTATAAAGTTTTCTCCCTGAGCTGTCCCCCTTTGTTTAGTTCTTTATTATTTCACAGAAAAGATTCTGTGGTTTTAATGGCTCATTGCAAAGTCCATGAGTTTAATGCCTTTGTATTACTTGCTTTTATGTACAGTCATGCGTTACTTAACAACAGGGACACGTTCTGAGAAATGCGTCGTTAGGTGATGTTGTCGTTGTTTGAACATCAGAGTGTACTTACACAAACCTAGATGGTATAGCCTACTACACAGCTAGGCTATATGGTACTAATCTTATGGGACCACCAGTCGGTTGACTGAAACATCATTATATGGCGCATGACTGTATGTTACACTTTCTGGCTCCTACGGTTCTTTGTATGTGGTTAGCCACCCAAATAGGAGTAAACAGCCATTTAGAAATGGTTAATGTGTTATTTCTTAGTTTACAAATTTGGCCCACTTCTAATTTGAACACTTTCCCCTTTGTAGTTTTCTTTTCACTTCTCTTAATACATTGAGGGTCTTAGACTAGGTCGTGGTCTTCTCTCACCTCTGTAGTTGCAGCTGGACTTTCTTCCTCCCAACTCCATGCTGGGTCTGTAAATCAGCTACGTTGTCAAATCGATTACCTTAACCCTTTGTTTCTGTTTTCCTTTAGACTTTTTGTATATCTCAGACCAGAATCACATTCTGCACTATTTACCTAGGAGGATCTTTGCTAGGCCTCTTATGCTTCATCGGACCAAGGTCACCTTTTAGCCATTAGGTCTTTCTTCAGTTCTACTCAATACCAGTTGCCAATTTTTTTAGTATTCTATTTCTGCCTTTGAGACTACTTTAGACTCTGTCTGTAAGATTCATTGAATTCCAGCTTTATATAATGCTCTCTTTTTATTTAGTCATTTCCGTTAATCCGTTTATTTGATGAGGACTGTGTAAGATTCAGAGGTACTAAGTGAAAGCATGGGCTCTGGAGTCAGCCAGACTCAGGTTTAAATCCAGAATCACTATTTACTCTGTGACCTCAGCAAGTAATTTTTTGGAGTTTCCCTTCATCATCCACCCATCCATCTGTACGTATTTTTGAGTGCCTACTATCCACCAGGCCATCTGCTAGGTGATCATGGATAAAACAGACAAGGCTCTCTCTCTAATTAATTCACAGTCTGTTCAGGATTTTATTTCCTTGTTGGAAAATGTTAGTAAATATCTTGATGAATTGTAAAAATGAAATGATAAGGTGTTGTAAAGTGCCAAGCATGGTGTCTAGCATATAGTAGAGATGAGGATCATGATGTTTATATAAATGGAAAGTGCTAGAGATGATGGTGGTGATTTTAAATACCCCCATAATACCTTTAATCTGTTTTCCTACATTAGAGAAGTTACTTGTTTTTTCTACTTAAATCTTTGTCCTATTTTCTGCTCTTCCACAGTAATCAGAAAGCATTTATGTTGTTATTTTGTTTGCCTTTGACACTTATTAAGCAAGTACTAAGCTAAGGAATATTTACATACATTGAATATTCACAGTGACTTTGTGATTTAGATATTATCTCCATTTTACATATAAGAAAATTGAAGTTCAGTGATTTCCCAAGCTAATACATAGAAGAACCAGGATTCATATCCTCACTAATGAAGAGCGGATCCTGCGTCCCAATCTAGCTCTTAAAAATAACAGGGAAATTAGTGAAACAGGAGAAACAGGGTAGGAAAAAAAGGGATTCATGGCTAGAATAAGGTTTTTTTTTTTTTTTTTGTGAGGAAGGTCAGCCCTGAGCTAACATCCATTGCCAATCCTCCTCTTTTTGCTGAGGAAGACTGGCCCTGGGCTAACATTCGTGCCCATCTTCCTCTACTTTATATGGGACGCCACCACCGCATGGCTGGACAAGCGGTGCGTTGGTGCGCACCTGAGATCTGAAGCTGCGAACCCAGGGCTGCTGAAATGGAGCGTGCGCACTTAACCGCTTGTGCCACCAGGCTAGTCCCCAGAAAAAGTTTTAAAACTACTTTGCTAAACTGTACTACCTCACCACTTACAACGCTACCTTTCAAATGCTGTACAGAATCTGTTATTATGGCCATTTTTGGCCTGTAAATATCTCTTTGTTGGAATTGTTAGTGAGTATTGGTTATTAGTATTGCTTTCGAATTTATTGTATTGTTACTGTTTTGGGAAAACCCAGTCCCCCTCCTGTGTTTCTCCTTTACACACTGCTACCACACTCATGAAACTTCTGACACCAGATGTGTGGGTTTTCAGTTTCCACACTAAGCAATTCTTCGACACCAGCTGGGTGTCCTACAATTTAACTCAACTCTGACACTATCTACCTGGAGATAATGTCACACAGGTTAAGGGCTCATTCCCATAAGAGTGCCCCCCACTTCAGATGCCAGTTGCGAGTAGTAGCTCCTGAGGTTATCCATTACTTCTGTCTGACTTGGCTACAAATCAGAGGTTCCCAAGACCTCTTTCCTCTTGGATTCTGTTATTTCCTAGAACAGCTAACAGAATTGAGGGAAACACTTATGTTTATTAGAGGATTTGATAAAGGATATAGATGAACAGCCAGATGAAGAGATACATAGGGCGAGGTCTTAGAGCGTCTCAAGTACAGGAGCTTCTGTCCCCGTGGAGTTGGGGTACGTCACCCTCTCATACATGGATGTGTTTATGAACCTGGAATCTCCTTGAACCCCATATTTTTGTGCTTTTTATGGGGGCTTCATCATGTAGGCTTATTGATCATTAACTCCATTTCCAGCCTCTCTCCCCTCTCTGGAGAATAGGGGGTGGGGCTGAAAATTCCAAGCTTCTAATCATAGCTTGGTCTGGGGTGACCACCCCCCATCCAGGGGCCCACCAAGAGTTACCTCAGTAGAACAAAAGACACTGCTGTCACCCAGGAAATTCCAAGGGGTTTACGAGCTCCATGTCAGGAATCGGGGTCATGGACTAAATATTAGAACAAAAGATGCTCCTCCTGTTCTTATCACTTAGGAAATTACAAGGATTTTAGGAGCTCTGTGCCAGGAACCAGGGGCAGAGACCAATATATGTATTTTTTCTTATCTTCACAGCTACCAAGGTAGATTCTTAAGAAGATCTCAAATACAGATCATTCCTCCCTGCCAAATACAAATCATTCCTCCCTGCCAATTTATGTGTAATGGTACTTTTGCAGAATATCTCCCTTTTGTTCATTTATTTGTGAGTCATTTTATGTTTCTTAACCCACAGTGTGATGTGATTTTGGCTACTTTAACAGAAATTTTAATTAAGAAAATAACTGATTCAAATATATGTTAATTAGTGATGATTGAGATGTTATTTAACACACTTTGTCTAACTGATTCTAGGAATACTTGCCAAAGAGAATAAATGTTTACGGAGGGCCCTTTTGTACATAATGTGTTTCACTAAAGAAGTGAGTTATCTTGCTTTCTGTATATTTATGATTGAAGGTAAGATAGTTATCAATGTGCAAATGAACAGAGAAATCACAGCTATTTGCTAAGTAAGATACTGAATGAAAGTATACTCTTATATAAACCAAAGTTAAGTACATTGATAGGGCTTTAAATTAGGAAACTAATTTTTATTTTTTTTTATTTATTTATTTTTTGTGAGGAAGATCGGCCCTGACCTAACATCTGCCAATCCTCCTCTTTTTTTTTTTTTTTTTTTGCTGAAGAAGACTGGCCCTGGGCTAACATCCATGCCCATCTTCCTCCACTTTATATGGGACGCCGCCAGAGCCTGGCTTGACAAGCGGTGTGTTGGTGCGTGCCTGGGATCCGAACCGGTGAACCCCCGGCCACCGCAGCGGAGCACGCGCACTTAACTGCTTGTGCCACCGGGCCGGCTCCAGGAAACTAATTTTTAAACTTTTATTTTGAGATTGGTGGCTTGGAATGAAATTATTTTATGGTCAACTGGAGAAGGATATGATGAAGTTGGATTTTAAGATCTTTTTGTATAATACAATAGAGATGTTTCACTGGTTAGAAAGTGAAAAATGACATTTTTTAGACTGACAACTCAGCTTGTATGAAGTTTAAGCTGGATAAAGTAATATAAAATTATTAGACTGTATTAATAATTGATGATGATACTCAGATTCCATTATGTGAGAAAATACCTCTCACCTTAAGATAACTCAGGAAGTGTTCCCTAGATTAGGTACTTAAAACAAATATATATATGGTAATTTTGCAGCAGAAAATCAAATTCACACTTTTTTCATAGAAGAATTTGAGAGTCATTGTAGTTAACTTTTCCAAGAGCTGCAACACAATCGAAGGAAATAGTTTCAACCAAATTACATTTCTATTTGTCAGTTGCAGCAGTCTTAGGATATAAAATTAGAAACACTTCATAAAGACGAATATGTAAAAATCAGTGCAAGCTAAACTAATGTTTCCATACACATTTGATTCAAAGTTACTGTAACAAAGAAAATGTTTTGCTAATGTGGTCTAGCTGTCCCAGTCAAATACAATACGGATGGCAAGAGCTGTTGTATTTTACTAACACTTGTAACTGAAAGCTAATTTTTATTGATGATTTTTAATAGTTTAATAATTGTTAGAATGAGAAAACAACATGAATATCGAAGTGAAAATATCAGGAAATTTTGGTTCACATGTCACCAGGATAGAAAATACCCTCTAATTTGACACTTATCAAACTGGAATGCTTACAAGTAGGCATTTGCTATTTATTTCCACATTACTGATCCTTATTTTTTTTAATATTAAAGGATACCTAAAAATATTACAGAGGAAGATTTTAAAGGACTAGGTAAAATACACTTAGGGCAAGATAGGGTAAGCTTTTTCATAATTAAATTTATGAAAAGGCGGCCATACCAGTCTGCCCAAAAGTTTATGCAGCTCTGCTCTGCTTTTGTGCAGTGATTATAATACAAGATAACTGATGTTAGAGATTTCAAAATAAAACCACCCCATGAACAACAATAGCAACAAAAAGCTTTTTCAAGATCTGTCATTAGATTCAGTACAAATTTAGCGCAACTCCTACAGTTTCTCTGTGGAAGACTAATGATTGATTCCTGATGATGAACAATCCCCAGGACCTATGGGATTCTAAAGGGCTTTTTGATTTGTCAAAGAAAGTTCATATTGTATTTAATATGGTTTAGTGTTAGTTGGATTTGAGTCCTTTTCTTTTCTTAGTGGGGTATATTTTCTATGTTTATAGAGAACCACCCTGATGCAGATAGTCATTAACTTTAAGATTGTTCAATTTGTGAATGTTCTTATGTGAACAACTGGTTACCATTCAGGGATGAGGAGGGGAAATGGGGTTATGGATAGAATAATAGAGAGTTCAGCCTCTACAGCTGAGTTGTGGGTTGGCCTAAGAACATAATCAACCTTTGTACCATTGCTTCTCTGGGAAGTGTTCCCCGAGTTCTAAAGAATCAGTTTAATTTACAAATATACTTTTGGAAGTGAAAGTTGGAGATTGCCTTAAAGTTGGTTCCTCAAGAAACCAACTGTTCTACAGTGGTGATTTTTTTCATATTTTATGCTTTGATCGTTGGTAATATTCTGGTTGATTAAAAATTAATAATTCATTAATGGACAATCCAAATAATGTATATTTGGTAATAACTTCCTGTTAAAAAAACATTCCATCTCCTATCATGATAGGAAAGGAATTTTACTTGTTATATTATGAAACAGATGGTTAATGTGATGAAAATGTCTTAAAGAATTTTAAGATGTAATTTTTTATTCTGTCTAATCTGTTATTTTAATTTTTATTTTCAGCCTATCTAGTAATTATGATGCTCAAATGAAGAGCCTTTTAAGGATTGTGAGAATATTTTGTCATGTCTTTCGAATTGGTCCATCTTCTCCCAGTAATGGAATCGATATGGGCTACAACGGGAATAAAACTCCAAGAAGCCAGGTGTTCAAGGTCAGAAAAGTATATGACGTTGTTAGGAAGATAGACATAAAAGAGATGAATTTGACAAAGCATGCATTCATTAATCAGAAACCTCATAAACAGGACGTAAGTTTGGTTCATACCTGTGTCACTTTCTAAGTTAGGCACACCTTTCTCCTTTGATCTCTGTCTAATCAGCAGCAAGTCTTAACTGGTGAGCTTTCTATATTTTTCTTGCAAGTAAAATTTTAATTCCAGTAGTGTTCTATTCTGAGGGTAAAGATATTTAATGTTTAATTAAATTTTCTTTTTTATTGGATTATAGGTTTTTAATGTGGCAGTATGCAGCTATCATGCTTTTTAAAAAAATATTTCTTATTCAGAAGGACAGAAAATATCTAGTTTTTATTTAAATTATATTATTGTATGTGTTATGTGTGTGTTCATGTATCTGTTTGTAAAGTAAGGCTACTTTTCGTTTACTGGCTATTAACAATTCCTGAGATCATTTTAAGGAAGAATCATTGAGATATTTTCTTAAAATGTTTTGTTTTGCTTCGACTGTTTCTTACATACAATCACATTTATGGATGGAATCCTTGGAAGAATCATTCCATGTAAAACCCAAGGCAGTGTTGCTACCCATGTTAAATTATAATTTTATGAAGTAAACAAAATGAACATGGCTATAATTGCTATTGTTAATGTTTTTTTTGTGGCGTTATATTTTCAAATAACTCAGCTTTTGGACAAATATGTACTTTAATAACTTTTCATGTTTTTTTTAAGGGTAATATATCTTAAGAGATTTTCATAGTATAAAATTTGCTTTTGGGTTCATGAAGACTTATATTTCTTTAAACAGTCATTTGAGTATAAATATAGGTTATCTATCCAAAAAGTGATGTAAACATTTTTATATGCCACTTCCTCGAAAACTAGTGATGGCTGAGAGCTTTACTGTCTGTAAAATTCAAAGTTAAATTAATGATTTATGCTAAATGATTCTTTTTTTACATGGAAAATTTTTGACAGGCACAAATAGTTTGCAAACATTTTGACACTAGTAGATTCTTTAATATCTAGAATAGGTGTGATAGCCTTTGGCAAGAGGTATGTATAAGAAGGGTCTGTGCATCTGTTTGTCTGCTTCACTTTTTTTCATCAGTGTAGAAGAGTTTTCAGCTGTGTGCGTTTCTTTTTTTTTCCTATTGTGCCACCTCCTGGAAGAAGGAAGTTATGCATCTTCTTGTAATTAAAATTTTGGCTTTTCACATGCCGCTTCTTTGAACACTAGTTAGGAGTGATAACTTACTGTCTTTGTAAAATTCGAATCTGAATCATTGATCCACTGTTTGTCAATGCTGTTTTAAGTGAATTTCACTGCTTAAACATTCACATTACACGAAGTTGTTTTTTTTTTTTTTTTTTTTTGTGAGGAAGATCAGCCCTGAGCTAACATCCATGCTAATCCACCTATTTTTGCTGAGGAAGACCCGCTCTGAGCTAACATCTATTGCTAATCCTCCTCTTTTTTTTTTCCCCCAAAGCCTCAGTAGATAGTTGTATGTCATAGTTGCACATCCTTCTAGTTGCTATATGTGGGACGCGGCCTCAGCATGGCTGGAGAAGCGGTGCGTCGGTGCGTGCCCGGGATCTGAACCCAGGCCGACAGTAGCGGAGCACGCGCTCTTAACTGCCAAGTCACGGGGCCGGCCCCCACGAAGTTGTTCTTAATGTGTTCTTGCATGGGTCATGCTGTTATTTACTGAATCTACTCCTGATTTGATTTCTACTCATCTATAATGATGAATAGAAACTCAAATCAAGTATAGATACGGTCACCATTATCCAAATTGGGCATAGATTATATTCACTATTGTCTGATTTTTTTTTTTTGTTAAAATTTGAATCTGCCACCTATTTGCTAATGATACTGGAAAATAAGTGTGTGCTAAATAGCCTCTCTGTGGGCATTTAATGCTTGATTTAAATGTTAGTTTTCTACCTAGCCAGTCAGTACAGATATAACAGCATAGAAAAGGATATCACTGTTTTTCTTTTGGTGTTTTTTTTTTTTATGGAATCCAGACTCTGTTTCAATTGTCATATATCAGTGATGTATATAATATATAAAGTTCTTTCTGTTTTATTTCATTCATTAGTATTTTCTTTTTTTTTTTTTTTAAGGTATTATTCTCTGCATCATTGACAACTGCTTTTGCCTCTGACCACTTATTTTCTCTTAAATTTTGACCTTTCACTTTGGTGAAACATTTGTATTGTAAAAGTCACCTGACTTTTTAAAACATGAAGTATTACTCTTAAAGAATGTATTGGTCTCTTTCCATCTAATTTTATGAATTAAATGTGGACTTTTTGGAAGATAGCAAAATGGTCTGCCCTCCCACTTACAAGGATAAAAATAGAAACTACATTGTCATCCACGTATATAAGATCTTCTGTTCATTGTAGGGTGATTCAAATTGTAAAAATATTAACTTTGCTGAGTTGCTGCAATGTTAAACTGGAAATACGTTTTAATTTTTACCACATTTTCTCTAAGGTAGCAGTTGAGCCCTACTTTGCATTTCATTAACTAGGTGCTCTTTTTTTTTTTTTTTTAATAATTTTATTTATTTATTT